TGTGCATTTTCACAGCAAAATTTAAGCAAACTCTGAAAAAGGTTAAAATGTATTTATTTTGGAAGATTTGCTCATTTTAAAAATCTTGCTGAAATAGCACTGTGTGTCTAATAGTCTAAAGCCAAATTTTGTTTCCCATCTTAGATTTGGACAATTCCATTGATAAAACAGAAGCTGGAATTAAGGAGCTTCAGAAGAGTATGGAGCGTTGGAAAAATATGGAAAAAGAACACATGGATGCTATAAATCATGATACTAAAGAACTGGAAAAGATGACAAATCGACAAGGCATGTTATTGAAAAAGAAAGAAGAATGTATGAAGAAAATTCGAGAACTTGGATCACTTCCTCAGGAAGCATTTGAAAAGTATCAGACACTGAGCCTCAAACAAGTAAATCAACAAGGATTTAAATTTGAAGTTTCATTGCAGATTTCCCTGTAGTATGTGAACTTATTTACATATTTTCTTTTCTTTGTAGTTATTTCGAAAACTCGAACAGTGCAACACTGAGTTAAAGAAGTACAGCCATGTTAACAAAAAAGCTTTAGATCAGTTTGTAAATTTTTCTGAGCAGAAAGAAAAGTTAATAAAGCGTCAAGAAGAGTTGGATAGGGGGTACAAATCAATTATGGAACTGATGAATGTACTCGAACTTCGAAAATATGAAGCTATTCAGTTAACTTTCAAACAGGTATGTTCTGCTTATTGTTTAAAAAATGCAAGATGAAAACTTCATCTGTTACTCAGTAAGGTTAATCTAATATACTTGAATAAATCTGGTATATAAGTTGCTAACTTGTAGTAATTTGGATGTTTTTATGTAACTCTGAGAAGAATATTTATCTCTTGTTCTTAATATAAAAAAATATTCCCAATACTTTTAAATACTTGTCTTTGTTTTAAGCAGTAGTATATATAATTCCTTTTAAGCAAAATTTATATTTGAATTGACACTTTTTTTTTTTTTTTTTTTTAAGGTATCCAAGAACTTCAGTGAAGTATTCCAGAAGTTAGTACCTGGCGGCAAAGCTACTTTGGTGATGAAGAAAGGAGATGTGGAAGGCAGTCAGTCTCAGGATGAAGGAGAAGGGAGTGGTGAAAGTGAGAGGGGTTCTGGGTCACAAAGCAGTGTTCCATCAGTTGACCAGTTCACAGGAGTTGGAATTAGGGTAAAATACTTGTATCTTTTATTTTATTCACTACAATATCATAGAATTTATAGAATCTTTTGCACATCTAAATTATACTTCATATGCAATTTAATTTAAGAAGTGATAATGATTCTACTACCCTCTGGGATATTAACTCTTAATATGTTTTCCTAGGTGTCGTTTACAGGAAAACAAGGTGAAATGAGGGAAATGCAACAGCTTTCAGGTGGACAGAAATCCTTAGTAGCCCTTGCTCTGATTTTTGCCATTCAGAAATGTGACCCAGCTCCTTTTTACTTGTTTGATGAAATTGACCAAGCTCTGGATGCTCAACACCGAAAGGCTGTGTCAGGTACAGTTTTGGTTTTGTGCTTAAACTGAGAACTTGCTTAAAGGTGATACCTTACCTCTTTTATTACTATGTTTTCTTATTGCCGGAGATATTTGGAGCAAGTAGATTGTATATACTAGGTAAACAAGATAATTTGTCTTTTAATAGTTTTTTAGAAGTTTGGTATTTGACTATTTTTCAAGGTTTAGTTATGTGAGAAATAGATATACTATTTTGAATTAAATGAAAATTACTTTAATTAAATTTTATTAAAATCTGCTTTGTTTACTCAGCATTAAAATAGTACCTGTCAAACAGTTTTGTGCTCAAAAGTCTAATTCTTAAAAGTCCAAAAGGTTTTGGGGGGGTAGTGGATAGCAGAAGAAAGATGGTATGTATGTGTGTATGAGAAAACCATTAGAAGATTTTTTTTATAGTAAACAACTGTTTCTGTAGCTTTAAGATACTGGGTTTAAAGCTTTGTTCCTAATTGAAGAAGTTAAATTGGTAGTTTCTGCAGTTGTGTGCATGGAAAATAAAAAACACAGGCTGAGCCAGGCATGGTGGTGCATGCCTGCTGTCCTAGTGGCTCAGGAGGCTGAGGCAGGAGGATGTGAGTTTAAAGCCAGCCTCAGCAACTTAGTGAGGCCCTAAGCAACTCAACGAGACCCTGTCTCTTAAAAAAAAGAGGGCTGGGGATGTGGCTCAGTTGTTGAGTGTTCCTGGGTTCAATTGCCATTACCAAAGAGGGGGGAAAAAAAGGCTGTTCTGACAGTTTTGAATTTTAGATAAGAGTAAAAATATCTTTTTTTTTTTTTTAAATTTTTAGATCTCCTGAGAAAAGGGATTTATTAAATTATTTCTTTTTACAGATATGATTATGGAACTTGCTGTACATGCTCAATTTATTACAACTACTTTTAGGCCTGAACTGCTTGAGTCAGCTGACAAATTCTATGGCGTAAAGTTCAGAAACAAGGTAAATTTTTTGTTGTTGTTTGTTAATAAGCATTGAATTTGTTGAATTCTGATTTTATGTTAAATTGTGAAAGAAGACAAATAATTACTAATCTGTCTTTGTAAATACATTTTTCCCAAATATCTATGAAGTTTAGCAGATATTTTGTAGCATTTATTGTTTGAATTTTCTTTATTTTCATTGATATCAAAAGACAATATCTTCCTGTCAGGTCTACTCAATGCTTCTTGAAAGCACAGCCTTTAACAATTAGTTCTATTTGGCTGTCCCACTCACACCTTTTCCTAGTTGTCTTCCAGTCTTAAGATTCTTTGATGAAATAGTAAATAATTTAAACTGAACAAAAGGAAGTTCAAGATGATCATTTGACACAGGGACTAGGCTGTGTATTGCAAACACTGATAATAATTGTTTAAGATGTAATGTTTTCAACATTGTTCTGCAGGTTAGTCATATTGATGTGATCACAGCAGAGATGGCCAAGGACTTTGTAGAAGATGATACTACACATGGTTAATTGAAAAATATTGCCCACAGATTTGGAAGATGTATATAATAACATGGTTCTCATACCCAGGAACTGTAAATTTAAGCTAAATATTGGTCTTTATTGTTGTCAGACTTAGAACACACATAGTCCTTTTTTATTCTGTCTTTGTATTTTATAAGATATTCTGTAATGTTACATTTCTACTAATAGTTAAAAAATTTTGTTTCTCACACAGCTTTTTGTAAAGTGCCCTGCTTCTCCTATTTTAAATCTTTTGAAACATTCTAAATATTCTTTTCTAATTGTCAGTTACACTGCATCTTTTTTTATAGCCTCAATTAAATGATTGGCTTTATGACTTTGTGTTTTATGTGGATTTTATTTGTCATTTTACTGATTAGAAACCAGTTTTTCTTGGCTGGGTTTGGTGGTACACACCTGTAATCCCAGTTCCTCAGGAGGCTGAGGCAGGTGAGTTACAACCTGGTGAGACCCTATCTCACAAAATAAAAAGGGCTGAGGATATATCTTAATAGTAGAGCACCCCTGGGTTCAATCCCCTATAGTACACACACACAACAGTAATAAAAATAATTTAAACGTGTACTTTTTATTTTGCCTAAGAAAGTGTCACTTTTGTTACGTACTTCCATATTTTTTTAAAATTTCATCAGAGAGTTTCTGTCTCATTGTGTACTTGAACCATGGGGAACTTTTAAAAATATAACACTATTGGATGTTGAATCAAAATCTTAAATGGTTGGGATTCTAGTTATTGCTATTTCTAAAGTTCCTCATAGTGATTTTGACCTTCAGTGATGATTAGAGCCCCTGCTTCAACTTGGTATAATGAGTTCTTTAAAAATTATTATTTTTTAGATGGCAGTGTATTTAATAGAACTTGTGTGCTTAAAGTAGTTCTAAGTGAAGGAACACTAGTGCCAAAAAAATGAGCCTTATAATTTCCTTGTTTTTCTGGCTAATAGTTTTAGAAGGTTTTATTACTGAAATTGCCCCCCCCCAAGGGTGGTCTTTAGGGATTTTTATCTTATTAAATGACTTTCTTGAGACATAATTGGTTCACCATAAGATTCACCCATGTGATCTATGTGCAGTTCAGTATTTTAAGTATAGCCATAGAATTGTGCAGCCATTTCTGAAATTTAATTTTAGAACATTTTTACTCCAAAATAAAACCCTGAGCTAGGCACTGTGGCACACAGCTGTAATCCCAGCAACTCAGGAGGCCAAGGCAGGAGGATCACAAGTTTGAAGCTAGCCTAGCAACTTTAGTGAGGCTCTGTCTCAAAAAGGATTGGGGGGATGTGGCTCAGTGGTTAAACACCTCAGATTCAACCCCCAGTGCCAAAAACAACAGCAGCAACAAAAGGAATCCCTGTGCCTATTACTAGTCAACTCCCTCCTTTTAGCTCCTGGCAACCAAATTGACTTTGTTTTGTACTATAGATTTGCCTGTTTTGGTCATTTCATATAAATGGAAGCATATGATATATGTTCGTTTGTGACTGGTTTCTTTTACTTTGCAGAGTGTTTTCAAGGTTATCCATGTTGTAGTGTGTGTGAATTTTTGTTGCTAAATAATGTTATATGAATATGTACTATGGTTTTTTTTCTTAATTCATTTATCAGTTGGACACTTGGATTGTTTCTCTCTTTTTGCTATTATAAATAATGCTACAGTGAATATTGGGAACAAATTACCATGTGGGCATGTTTTCACATCGCTTAGATATGTATCTAGGAATGGAATTATTGGTTCATATGGTAACATTTTGAGGAATTGTCAAAACTTTTCCCTTTTATATTCATTCATATAATAAATTCACGAGAGTTAGGATTTCCCCACATCCCCACCAAACTTCCTTTTATATGTTTTTTATCATAGCCATTTTTGTGAGTGTGGAGTGGTATCTAGTGCCTTTAACTTATATTTTCCCGATGACAATGATGTTAAGTATCTTCATGTGTTTGTCATTTGTATATCTTCTTTGTTAAAATATCTACTCATATGTTTTGCCCATTTTTAATTGTTTCTTGTATTCTTATAGAATTTTTAGGTCTTTGTATATTCTGGATACAAGCCCCTTATCAGGTATCTAAATTTTTGTCCCAGCCTATGACTTCTTTTTTTCAAATTCTTACAATGGTGCCTTTTGAAGCACATTAAAAAAAAAAAAACAAAAAACATTTTAACTTAATCATATTTGTAAAGGCCCTATCTCCAATTATAGTCACATTTAGAGGTATTGGGAGTTAGGCCTTAAACATGTGAATTTGGTGAAGGGACACACAATTCAGTCCCTAATAACTGCTATCGTATGTTTGTCACCCAGTATTGCTCTCAACTAACTCTAGATTTTATTCAGATTTCACTAACATTTTTAGTAATGTCCTTTTTCTCTTCTAGGATTCGCAAAGGCTACTACATTATATTTGCCATGTATCCTCTGGTCTGAGACAGTTTATCATTGTGTTTTTTATTCCTTGACAATTTTGAGAAGTACTTTTCAGATATTTGTAGAATGTTCCTCTATTTGGGTTTGTCTCATAGTTTCTTAGGATTAAATAATACCACAGAAATTAAGTATCCTCATCATTTCATATCAGCAGTACATATTATTAACATGCTTTATCACTGATGATATTATCTTGATCACCTCCTCAATATTATGTTTGCTAAATTTTGCCATTTTTGCACTTTTCCTCCCTTTCCCTGTTCTGCTCTTTGAAAGTATATCACTAAGTGCAGTTTACACTGAGGGTATCCTGTGACTTTGGAAAGTGCTTTTATTAGTTGTAGTAGCTTTTTTGATAGTCTGAAATTTTCAGACAGTCTTGTCATATGCAGAGTTTTATTTGTTCTTTTCCAACATATTTTCCTTTTCTTATTGACCCCACCCAACCTCACCCTTGCCAAGAGTTTATAATCTATAGGAGAGTTTGTTAGGACCTACCCATACATTAGTAAAAGCTAGAAATACCTAAAAGAGGTACATTAAAAATAAAATACTATTAAGACTTCAGATCGAATTATAAGTGTGCATTCACTTTGTATTTTCATTTTGATAAGCTTATTTAAATATTTAGTGTATTATTATGCTCTGTAACTTTGCTATAATATAACCGATCTTCTTAAAAAGAAAATTTGGTATATAGGTTGAGCATCTGTTATCAACAAATCCAAAATGCTCCAAAATTTGATACCTTGTTGAGTATCCAAAAAGATTGCAGATTTTTGAGACTTTTGGATTTTCAGATAGGGGTGCTCAGTAAGGTAGATCTGTACAAATATTCCAAAATCCAAAAACTATCTGCAACAGTTCCTATCCTAAGCATTGCAGATAAGGGATACTCAGTCTGCATATGTTCTGAGATACCATTAAAGAGGGTTATATAACTATAATACCTTTCTAATATTCCTAATGTTTCTGATGCATCTACCCAGGAGATTTATCAAGAGTTACTAAATAACTATGTAGCTTGAAATGGTGTATGGTATATGACCTATTGCTTAGCTATAATCCTAACCCTCCAATAATACAGAAATTGAGCCTAAAATTGACCAACCCTTTTTACACATAAAACTTTGGAGATTTGTGACTATTTTCTCAAGATAGACTCCCAGCAGTCAGTATGTTGTTGTTGTTGTTGTTGTTGTTATTTTTAAATATTTTTTAGTTGCAGATGGACACACTATTTTTATTTGTTTATTTTTATGTGGTGCTGGGGATGGAACCCAGGATCTCATGCTTGCAAGGCAAGCATTCTACCACTGAGCTACAACCCCAGCCCAGCAATCAGTATGGTGTATGGTATTTATATCTTAAAAAATATAAAACTAGATTATGGTATAAGTGTGTTAGGGCTCTATTTAAAGTAATTTTCTTAGGAGATTATAAAAATAATGGTCTTACTATGAATAGTATCAATCATAATATAAAAGTGGAAGCTGGTTGGGCATGGTGGTGCATGCTGATAATCCCAATGGCTCAGGAGGCTGAGGCAGGAGGTTTGCAAGTTCAAAGTCAGCCTCAGAAAAAGAGAGTTGCTAAGCACTCCTGCCTCTAAATAAAATACAAAATAGGACTAGGATCTGGCTCAGTGGTCAAGTGCCCCTGAGTTCAATTCCTGGTACCCACCCCCACCCCCAAAATGTGGAAGCTGACTTTTGAAGTAGTGTTTCTTCTTTCTTGGGGGTTACTACAGATTGAACCCAGGGGCACTCAGCCACCAAGCTACATCCCCAGCCCTTTTTCATTTTGAAACAGGGTCTCCCTAAATTGCTGAAGCTTATTTTGAATTTATGATCCTCCTGCTTTAGTCTTCTAAGTCATTGGGGTTACAGGTATGTGCCACCATGCCCAGGTCTTTCCTTTCTGAAGTATTAATAACAAATCTGTTTTTGAAAATATTTAATTCTTAAGAGGAGTTTTTCTACTAATAACTAAAGGTAGAGAATTAGCTCTTTCACTTACCTCAAAGGAAGACTCCCAGTGTTCAGGAGGAGAAAAATAGTAAGATTTCACTTTCCCCTAGAAAATGATTTTCTCAGGGCCTAACATGGAGATGTTGGGGTGCCTGCCACAGAGATGAAGTGTTTCAACAATTTACTTTGGTAGAAACGATGTTCTTTGTCTTTTACTGTCATATGT